CCCCAAAACCCCAAAACCCCAAAACCCCATAAGAAAGAATTTCATTGAAATCGATAGGCTCAATTTAGAATTTAATCTAAGATGGGATGCAATATTATTAAAGCTCATAATTCAGATAATAAAATGGAAAACTTGATTTTGACTTTTGACACAAAAAAATTGGAATTATAATCAGATAATTCTTTAATTTTCGAAACAACTTTCCCAAAATTAGATGAAATTATCAAGAACAGTTTTGCAGAGTTATCGAAACTTAAAGAGATTCAGTAGTTCTGCTCTGATTCAAAAAATTCAAAGAAATAGAGGAATAAAATGTTTTATGAGCATGAGGAAAATGTTAAAACCAATATTTATCCAGCTATCAATAAGGAGATTAGTATATATATTCCTGAATGGAGCGAATTGATGGAAGTCAATAATGGTCATGTGAATTGTCATACATTAAATGTAATCTACTGCATTTCCTAAGATAAAGAGTATTAGGCACTAGACAATTTCAATTAAAATGTGCTAAAGTGGGCAGGACTACTTCATGATTTGAAGAAATTAAGTTACCCATTTATTGAGGGGAAGGATCATATGCATCCCTTTAAAAGTGGAAAGGCCTGCTTGGAGATATTCTAAAGACTTGGATTGATTGTTATTAGGAATTAGGTTGATTATTAGGAGTTTACAAGGTTACTTGAACTAATAGACTAATCAAAGCAACCAGTTCCTTATTGGATGAGCAGAAAATTTGAGAAAGACAAAATATATTGTACTGAAATGCATTCCCATGATTACCTATCAGACATTTTTACTATACTGTGGAATTTATTCGCTCCTAGAGGAAGCTTTGTAGATCTTGTATTTAGACTAGTATTTTTCCATCAATCGCTTTGCGGTATAAAAGAAATTCCCCCTATGATTTAGCTTAATACTGAGCAATAATTAATCTACTGTGATGTAGTGTTTCTGAAACTTATTAAAATATTGATGAAGAATGACTCACTTTCATATATGTATGTCTATGATTATGAAGGTTGCAAAGACTAATACATGCAAGAATTCGAGGAATCAAATACAAGTACACTAGAAGAGTGGCTAAAAAAGTAGGTCTTGCTAGAAGCTAAATACAAATGCTGTTGTTAACAGAATTGATTAGATTGAAATTCTAAAAGTATACTATATTGATTTGTAGATTAAGGTTATTATCATTTTTCTTTTAATTAATTGATTGGTGTAGTATCTGGGGTTTTGGGGTTTTGGGGTTTTGGGGTTTTG